TAGGCAAGGAACAGTTCCTGGGGTGTTTTATTATATGTAAATTTCCCTTCAGTGCAAGGCTCGTCACTTCATAAACAATGCAGTAGCAGGTAGTCTGGTTACAATAAAAGGATATTGCTGAAATTGCATCACATCATTCTTCTACCTCAATTTTACAGTAGAAAAGACTGGTTAATGATGTAAAATGTATGTGTTGTAATTCAATATTAGTACAGCTATTTTTGCAATCATTTTTAATAAATTCATTGCAAAACAATTCACATTTTTCTCCTCTGGAAAAAGAACAGCGTGTGTGTGCTAAATGACTAAAATAAAGTCATACTAATTTTAACTAGAAACTGCAGGTAATAATAGTATGTTATGACAATATGTCCATAAACAGTTTAATTACAGGTACAAGTTGAAATGACAACTTTGTGCTACTGTCACAAAGACCATAAAATACTTACAGAATGAGTAATTTGAACCTAATAATTCAAGTAGCAGTTGGAGAAGCACTTTCTGGATCACACACATGATTTCAGTGGGCTCTTTGCAAAGAGTTAGTGCTTTTATTCAGATTTAATAGATCTTGCTTTGTTTGTAACATGTCAAGACAAGGTGATTACTTAGTTACACATATACATGTCTTGTTCCCATACTAAATCAAAAATCAAAATAATCTTCTAAAACAATCTGGTAAAAATTAATTTTCAAAATTACACTGATTTTTGAAGCAAATGCAGAGTTTGACTGGTGTTCAGAAGAACAGCAGATGGAATGTGTCAGGCAGAGGTACAAAACCCAGTAGCTCTAGTGAAATCTGTGGTAGTATGTCTGAAGAGTAAAGCAGTCGTCATTTGGAATGAAAATTGGAGAATTTAGTACTTAAATAGCTGCTATAGCCCATAGATTTGTCTCCAGCTCCTGCACTGCAAATTAAACTACAGACTGGAGTGACAAAGACAAGATAATTATCTTCACTAACTTTTAACAGGGGTAGTTATCAGTGTCAGTCTTCCTGTCCTCCTTTGTGCTTCAGTAATTTCTAATGAAGGTGTAGCAGGAAAAAAATAAAAAGGAACTTTTTACACATTTACCTTTCACAGTCAAGCTTTCACAAAGCCCTTTAAAAGTAATGAATGCAACACTGACAACATGACTTCTCTAAATGCAAACAGTGTGCCAGCTATATCCAAAACAGTTGGTCCCAGTCAGATTTGGGCTGGGACGGTGTTGTCCGGGGGCAGCAGACTGAACAGTCATTGCTTACTGGATTGTAAGTTGCTTCACCTGCCTACTGATTTCTCCAGCTGCAAAGAAAGGAACAGCACTGACCTTGCAAGATCAAGCAAGTTCCTTGTTTTTATTATTCAGAATCACAATGGTTTGGTGGAAGGTACCTTAAGGACCATCTTGTTCCACTCCCTTCAACCATCCCAGGTTGCTCTAAGCCCCATCCAACCTGGCCTTGGACACTTCCAGGGATGGGGCAGCCACAGCTTCTCTGGGCAGCCTGTACCAGGGCCTCACCACTCTCACAGGGAACAATTTTTTCTTTAATATTCCATCTAACCCTGCCCTCTGTCAGTGTGAAACCACTCCTCTCTTGTCCTGTCACTCCATGTCCTTGTAAAAATTACCTCTCCAGTTCTCTTGGAGCCCTGTTTTATACCTGAATATAAGACTTTTCCTAAATTCTAACAGCTCCTTGCTGATTAAAAAAAAAAAACAAAACACAAAACAAAACAAAAGGCACAAAACACTTTTGTGAGAAATATATGAGGATGTGCTCTGCAAGGTTTCTAGCTTTTGTTACAATAGTTCTGGCAATATTACTTTTTCTTTAAATTTAAAGGGAAGTAATTCTAAAGGTTATTGTTCTAAAGGATATTTAGTTACGATAAGATTCTCCTCAATTTATGCATTTCTGATCATAATAATGCCTTTCATTCTCCAAACCTTGCATTCAGAAGACAGTTATGATGGTGCAAAAGTACTTTTTTCTCTAGTCTTGTTCTGAATTCAGACCTAACACTACTCTCACACCAATACAGATGCCCTAGAGTTTAAAGAAAAGGTTCAAGTGCCAATTTTAAGAAAGACAGAGTCCTTCCTGCTACTATTCATAAGGGCTCTCAGAGTTAATGTAAATTAAAATCAGATTTCAAATATTACTTCTGCTTCCCATTCTTTTATCTTGGCTCGCTCACTAAAAGAATTAAGTGTCTTAAATGAGATTTTGAGCTAACACAAAAATGGAAACATTAATCTCCCACTTTGTCTTCAATTCTGTAAAGGCAAGTTTTGACTTATGGCTGCACACCAGCATAAAAAAGGACAAACATTATCATTAAAAACAATATCATGACAACACTGTAAAATTATACCTTGTTTATAATCTGGAATCTCGTGATGTTAACACGTACTTCCATTTTGAAGAAACTCTCAGACTTGGTCATCAAGTTACAGCAGCAAATTGACTTTGATAATTACACATAACAAGGCTACACAATGTAACACAGGTAATGAGATTTTAATTCACCAATTCATCTTGGGAATGAGTACAAGGAGTAGCAATCAGCCTCCACATGCCTTTACACACTTTTAGTGCTAGTTATACCCTGAATGTGTGTTAGCCCACCTGCAGAGCCATTATTTTTGCAGTCTCATTAGGAAGATGGGTTTTGCTCTCATTTCAGGGACCTGTTACAAAATTCATTCTGGCAAAGATGAGTTATATCTTTTTAATAGTTTGCCTGTCTAAAGAACAACACCAGGAGACACAAGTTATCTTGCTGTGCCTTTCCCTGTGCTGGGAGTAGGGAGGGAGGGAGGGAAGGCAGGTATTGCACAGGGAAGGATGGTTTTCATTACTAGTACATACTTTGCTATAAACAAGAATCCACTTCCAAAAACCACCAATCTAACTGTTTAAAAACATAAAGAAATTGCAACTTTTTAACTTTAATGCTCTACATCACCTCCTTTCTACATTAGTGACATAAACCCACAGGTTGTAGAAAAAATAGTAGGTTTGTAGCTACAAGTCATATGGACATATTAAAGGCATAACACGACCTAGAGCATCTAATCTTGGTATCCAATGACCATTGACTTTTATGTAAGGAATGAAGCAGCCTATGTGAAATAAGTTCTCTTGTTTCTGTGCAGTTAATGGGCAGGAGAGGAACCTTTAAAGATCTCCACAGAGAGGAAAACTCCCCAACCTGGATGCCATTGCAATTCAGAGGTTTACACTGCCTCAGACACATCCATGGCTAGTTGGACTCCTCAGGCCCCTCCTTTGCAAAGCACCTTTCCTGCTTTATTAGGGCTCAGAATATTCACACACAACATATTCGCATAATTTAACATCCATAGTGTCTTGGATTGTGCATGATTATGCTGCTTAAGAGATTATACACTTGAAATACAAACCACAATGACGGGTAACTATTTATTTTTTAAAAGCTAATTTCCTGGTACCTTTAGGAAGAGCTGAGTGCCACGGTTCGAAGGGGAGAGGGGAATGGGACTGTGACACAGCACGGACAGGTCCGGAGTCCAGGTAGATGTGCAAATGGAATGCTTTATTGAGGTGTGCAGGGGTTTTATGACTTCAGGCGGGGAAAAGGCTAGAACATGGGGTGCAACATGAGACAGACAAACGGGGGAACAAATCGGGGTAGGGACACAGACAAAGGCGGAGGAACGTGGAAGGAACCGGGGAAGGAAACGGTGAATGGTAACTGTCTCTGCTCTGCAGATTTCTCAGCTAATCAGAGGGAGGAGCGGGGAAGCAGGGAGCAGGCAAACTTGTGGCAAGCCCAGGCATGCCCAGGCTGTGCACTGTGTAGTGTGGATACCAAGCAATACCCATATTTGAAACCACATAATAACGGCAAAGTCCATATAATAACTGTAAAATCCATATAATAAAGTCCTGTCAATTGCTGACTCTCTTCCTCCGTGCCTGGAACTGTTCCCACTCTGCTTCCTGCTCCTTCACAGCTGGGCTTAAGCAAGAAGTCCAGCTCTGTAGAAAATGCCTAAATTTCAGTAATCTACTTTCAATCCGAAATTAAAATGTTCAATGAGGAAACTATGCCAATCAGAATCTGGATCTGGATCTGTTTCCTGGATCGGAGTAAACAAACTTCACTAAAATGTATAGGAATTTATGATGTAAGATATGTCCTAAACCAACACATCTTCAAACAAATAAAAAGGAAAATCAGGTTCATAAAAGTTGTAAAAAAATGTTTCTGCAGTTCCAGTATGTGCTATTTTTATTTGTTTTTACAAATGAAAATTTCTCAAGTTCCCAATAATTTAAATTTTGATGAAAACACACTTTCCAGTTGAACATTTCCAGCTGATATACTTTGATATAGTTTTCGATAAATAAGCTGGCAGTAGTGATCTTTAGATTGGTGGTATCTCAAAAAATAAGTTTATACAATGCAAAGAATTGTTCCAGGTTTAAAGATTTGAAAGTAGTTTGTTTTCTGAACTTCAGGTCATTGGTGGTTTTGGTTTTGGTTTTAATAAATAATTAGATTTTGTCATGGTATTAGGTACAAAGCTTTTTTTAAATTAAATAATTCAGTAGCTCTATGTTAGACCTTTTTACCACTGGTTTACAAGCTTTTAACTGTAACTGATTGAATTGGAAATTTGCCTATCTTTATATCTGCCATCATAATATAATATAATATACTCTATTTTTCATCTACAAATGATCTGGCGAACTCACACTTGCTTTGTGCTACAGTTTAAATCCCTTGGCTTCAGAATGTTATGTTTGATTAGGAAGAATCTTGTGTTTCATAGAAATTTTCTTTTGGTGAGACTCTTGCTATTCAAATGTATTCTGTCAATTCAGTAACAGCTTGGGAAAATGAAATAAATTAAAAAATAGCTTGTAAATACTCAGCACAGACTCAGTAGTGTTTAGCAGTTTAATTTTTTTAGGTATTTCTTAACTGAGTGTGGTTTAATCCCTCGCAATCACTATTGCCAGACATCTGTTATTGCCACTGAAAGGCAGATTACAATGAATCCTCTGGAAATGCTTTCCTGAAATGAAAGTAGATGTGACGAATCAGATCACATAAAAGACTCAGAGAATATATTCTGAGAAACAGAAAAGTTTAACTACAGGGAGGGAAGACACAGACATCTATGGAGGAACAAAACTGGAGTTGGGGATAGACCAAGGGGCGAAATGAAAGGATTGCAGGAGATGAAAGGAAACACCAGAAAACCTAAAAAAAAAGTGCAAGTTCCTGTATGTTGGTCACTGTCTTATTTTCTCTGATTCCTTTTGCTTTCTTCACTTGCTCTGTCCTGCTCACTAGGGTGAGGGAAAGGCACTTGCCAAGGTATTGTGAAATAAACAACTGCCAAGCTGTCTCATCTGGGAAACAGCACTACCCATTTCACACTTGCCTTCAAGAAAAACTTCTGCACCACCACCTAATCATGATTTCAGTGCAAAAAGCATTCTACATCATTAATTATCCCAATTAAAATGATGTTAATGGGACACCTCGTGCTGTTAGCTGCACAGATCTTGCAAAGTGTTGAACCACATGCAGGAGAACAAGCATGGATGCCAAGAGAAGTCATCTACAGTCCATCTTGTAAATTTCCAACCTGCAGTGGAAGGGTTGGGAAACTTGGTCACACATTTACCTGAAGTTGTTTCTTGGAAATCTCTGAAAAATAACTGGTAGCCTCAAGAAAATGGGCTTTTTTTTTGGCAAAAGTTTAGAATATTTTGGGTAACAAAATTATCTTACACCTGTTTAGAGGCATATTCCTAGTTATTTGGCTATTAATAGGTATATCCTGTAAAATCTTTGAATTTAAAGTACAGATTAGCCAGAAGAACACTGAACTAAGAGCCTAATCTCATTATTAAACTTACAGTACTATAAGGTCAAGTTCTAATTTTCAGCAAATACTTTACCTATATTCTTTATAAAACAAAAAATTTCTTTTAAAATAATTCATTGAAGGGGTAGTAAAAATGCAAAAACTCCTGACAAAATATGACTATAAACTCATACAGTAGATTCCAAATTATTTTGCGAAAAGAGTACTGTAAAAAAATTTTTTAAAATGTTTATTTACGGGGAAAACCGTTAACAAGTTGGTGTTTGTGTTTCTGCTTGTTTTCAACTCACGACTCTTCTCATGGACAGTACTGCCTAGTGAATTTAAACAGCTGCCAACATTTGCCTGTACTGTGAATTGAGATGCATGTTTTTCACAGGTTTGACAAGGTAATATCATTTAACTTACCAGGGGCATGTAAATTGTAACATATCACAGTATATTAAACTCTTTAATTTCCAGAGAAGCTTTTTAAGTGGTGAAACAAAGAACATAATAAAAGCATTCTGGAAATGGCAATCACCTTTTTTTTAGAGATGTACATCAACAAATATAAATTACAACAAATATAATATCTAGTTCCTTATGAGCTGTTCCACAGGCCTCAAATCAGAAAATCTAAAACCTTCAGAGTTAAAAGTATGACCAACAGATTTATTAACATGCTAATTGTATTAGGCCTTCATTTCTAGCCTGGTTTTCTACCCGTTTCGTTCTCCTGTTTTTATGGCATTACTTTTAAAATAGGGGACCCCTGGTGGCCTAGTGGTTAGCGTGCAGGACTCTCACCTCTGCGACCCAGGTTCGAATCCAGCCAGTCCCCCGGGCAGATGGAGTCCGTTAGGCCTGTGAGGCCATCCATCTATGAGAAGGTCACTCTAAACAAACCTACGTCCTGAGGACCTCACTGCCATTGTCCAAGCTTGCTTGCCCCCGGCAGATGAACCTTAGGATTAAAGGGTGGGCTCAGTTCAGCGCAGGCTGTGTCTCACCTAAAAAATCCATTGCACAGGCTGGAAAGGTAAAACACCTTTCCCAAAATCTTCGTTCGCGAAGACTGGCCATTATATTATTTTATTACTTTTAAAATGTGAACAAAGGAGGGTTCACTAAACCTCTCAATATAAAAACTCTTCGGAGCTAGAAATATTTTGTGTATTGACAACCAACACAAGAACAAATACCTAGAAAAAGGCTAACAACATCCCAGCATGACCTTGTCCTCAAATTTATCCTCTGCAAATAAACAACTCTCTGTGAGCCCCAGTTTCTCTTGAGCAGCTTGAGAAAAAAGCTCAAAGAATTGGTTCAATGTGGAAAATACAGGAAGAGAAATCCTTTTGGAGGAATGGGGAACCCGCAGAGAGATAAGAAAAGAATAGCTCAGAGTTCAGAGAGTCTTGAAAACACTGAGGCTTCAATAACACAGGTCCGTGAGTCAGCACTGCTTAGAAGGGGAGACAGAGACAGCGAGCACATACCTCAGATGGAGTAAAATATTACAGCCCTGGAAAAGCAGAAACTGCTCTATTGGTGTATGATTTCAGTCTCTCTAGACAGCAGTGGAAGGCCTACATACAACTCGAAGAAAGAATGACAAAATAAAGAGCTTGGATATTTAGAAGATAAACTACAATTACTTTCCTAATTATTATTTATCTGTTGATATTGGAATAATAAACTATAGTAACTTGAGCAAAACCTGTAAAAATTGGGGTAGAATAAAAATAATTCCATCTAAACTCTGCTATTTTCCCATAATGTACAGCCTATGTTTTCTGTCTAATTTTGTCCAATTATAAATAATCAAATTCTCTAATATTAGCAATTGGTTCCACTTCCTTAATGAATATTCTTTCCTTATATTCTTAGTTACCTTTTGCCATGAGTACATATTTTAAGCTGTTAAATTCTAGCTTGATTTATATCTTTTCTTCCTAAAGCAGGAAGGAAGGGTCAGGAACTTAAATCAAAATCAGGCAGAAAGTAGAGCAGGAAAAAACCCACCCAAAAACCAACCAACTAAACGATCAAACAAACAAACAAAACCTCCCCCCAAGAAATAAAAGGTAAACAAAATATTTTTCATTCACTTTGTCTGTCATAACTGGCTAGATTGTATACAACATTTCTGTGTTTTCTTCCCCCAAGAAGTGTTGCAGAATTTATCAGCCTTAAAAGAGAGTGAGATTGCTAATCCTTCCCTGCATTTCCTAAAACTCTGAATAAACCTTGTTGTTAAGAGATAAGTACAGCAGAAAGAGGGAAAAAATTATGTTATTTTTCCCATTTCTTGACTTGATGCCTTTGCCATTGAGGATCACACATATATTCTGATTCTTTTCCTATATCATAGCTGGTATCACAAACCAAATGTGCACATGTGCTTCCAAAGGTTCAGTCAACCAGGAAAGAGAGAATTTAGTGTTTGTTTCCTGTGTGCAATACTTACATGGGAAACTCAATATGAACTTTCCTTTCTATTCTCCTTCTTTTTTTCTAACCTCAACACAATGTCAGAAAAATAAAGACTAATGTTTCAGAGTAGTGTTGGAAGGGGTGGGAAAAAGTTGCATATTGAAAGAGGGAGTTTCTTTTTCTTGAATTCTACTGCTGAGCTGTTTCCTGAAGCCTAAAAATTTTACTTGGTGAGTTTTGGGAAATTAAATAATAGCCAGATATGCATCCTTTCTTCTCTGCAGCAGCTAAAGATAATAGTAATTCATGATTTTTGGGTAAGGTCAGACACTTAAAGCACTGTGTGTCTGCCGCAGGCTCTGAGGTTTCAGGAGAAATAAAGATGAAGTACAGTATTCTCTTGCAGAGCAGTTGATAAACATCATCATGCAAGGACTTTTTCACATCTTGATTTTTTGTCAAATCATAAACCATTCCTCTAAATTTGCTTCAGCTGTGTAATCATAAAAACTTTATATAAAACAACATTGAGTTAGTTTAATTCTTCTCAAAGATGGAAGAGCAGGAAACCTGCTGAAAATACAATGAAAGCTCTTCCAAGCATTCTCATGGTTATTTATACAGAGTTACTTCTGAACTGTCTGCATCATAGACTACTGTAAATTTTTACAAAGGCTTCTGCAAAGGGGTAAATTTTTAAAAATGGACTTATTCATTATTTAAACTGTAGCTGATCTTCTTAGTTGTTCAATATTTGATTTACTTGTAGGCAATTTGGAAAAGACCACTTTTTTCCTGGGAAAAATATGTTCCAAAATATTTAAATAATTAAATACCATTCTAAATAAGTAAATTAATAAATGCATGCATGCATAAATAAATCCTTCTGCTCTTTATCTTACATTCTGTTTTTCAGCTGAGGGATTGATATTAGAGGACTATTGGTAATGTTGATGGGAAAAAAATGTCCTTAAATTGAATTATCAGAGCAATGGGGATGTATAAAAACACTCAGAAAAGGTCTCCACCCCAAAACAATAATAGCATTCAAATCTTGGTGCTTCCTATGGGTGAGGAGAAAAAGTGTTGGGGTTTTCCACCTTGGAAAGTAATGGACCTTTGTTATAGACTTTACAGAAAATTATTAACAGTTCTCTGTAGTGCTTGGAGGTTTTTATGCTTAGGTACCTGTATCCTTGCTGATGTGGAGGATTTGAGGCTGCAGACTAAGACATGAACGTTAATGAGGTTGACTCGGGATTATGCTCCTCATCCTGTGTCTGTCAGTTACACCAGATCAGACTTAACTCCACGAGGAGTTTCAAGGAGATGAAGGGAATTGTTCCAAAGGTGCAGGCTTGCTTCAGGGTGTATAAATGGCAGAATATATACTTGTAAGGTGATCATTTATGGTGGCAATGAAAGTTTTTCCTTCAATTTGACAAGGTGATGAGTAATGGAAGAAGATGGACAGGTAATATAAATCTCCCAATATATGCTACTGTCCTGTCTCTTTTTCATGTCTTATTAAGGGTATTGCCTACAAATGGCTGTCTGGATTTCTCTTAGTTACTAATGCAGTTAGAATTCAGTGGTATCCTAGAAGCTTTACAGCATGGCTTCTTGCACACTACAAAAATATCCCTCATCAAAATTCAGTTTGTTCTTGTCCTCCCCAAGCTTCAATCTGATCTAGAGAGTGTTGCTTGAACTCTGCTTGATTTATTATCCTTTCCGCTTTTGCTCATTATCACTGGGTAACCTAATTTACCAGAGCTCAGGTATCCTTTTCATGCTGATTAAAAGCAGCTCTCTCACTCTGCTTGATACAGATCTGTTTCCTTCTAGTTGAAAAAAAATGATGATCTCTTTGTTTGAATGTATAGCTAAACCTTCTTGCAGAAGTCCCATATTTTACCTTACTCTTGTCCCTTCCTAGTATCCACTGAGTATTAATCAAAGTTGACCACTTGTTGCTGTGATTTAACAAAGCAGACAGCTAAACACCACACAGCTGTTTATTCACTTCCCCCTCTTCGCTCTCTCGGAGTGAGAGAATCAGGAAAAGGCAAAACACACGGGTTGATATAAAACCAGTTAATTAGGACAAAAAATGGGGAGGAAATAATAATAATAATAATAATAATAATAATAATAATAATAATGATTAAATAATGTAGTGGTGCACTCTTGCTTATCACTCACTGGTTGGTCAGTTGCCAAGCAGTGAACACTCACCCCAGCTCACTCAGGTTTTTTGTTCAGCATAGAATCCCAGGATGGTTTGGGTTGGAAGGGACCTTAAAAATCGTCTTATTCCACCCACTGCCATGGGCAGGGACACCTTCCACTATTCCACGTTTCTCCAAGCCCCATTCAACCTGGCCCTGGACACTTCCAGGGATGGGGCAGCCATAGGTTATCTAGACAACCTGTGCCAGGTCTTCAACCCCTCACAGGGAGCAATTTCTTCCAAATAACCCATCTAACCCTGCCCTCCGTCAGTGGGAAGTCACTTTCCCTTGTCCTGTCCCTGCAGGCCCTTGTCGAAAGTCCCTCTCCAGCTCTCTTGGAGATCTCATAGGTTCTCCATGATGCCATAAATCTGGGATACCCCTTGAGTCAGTTGGGGCCACCTGTCCCATCTGTGCCCCCTCCCAACTCCTCATGCACCCTCATCTTGTCGCTGGTGGGGTGTTGAAGGAGCAGAAAAGTTCCTAACTCTTTGTAAAAGTGCCTCAACAACATCTAAATCGTCAGTGTGTAACCAACATTATTCCCATCCTAAATCCAAAACACAGTGCCGTCTGTGTACCAGCTACTAGGAAGAAAATTATCTCATCCAAACCAGAATGCACACCACTTTGAAATATTGTCATATAACCAATTGTTTTTTACAAATTACAGTATAAAAAGATGAATTCTCCAGCAATATTTTCTGATATTAGCTGCTTTTTCCTATTTTGCAACAGCCCATCTCAATCCATCAGATCTGATAAGTTCCTCCAAAAACCTATTGCTGGTCAAATATCTTTACATTATTTTCCTGCATGGCACTTGGAATGCCTCCCAAGAAACACTGGAGGGAGAAAAGAAAAATCATCTTTGCTGTAATTTCCACTGAAATGTTGTGACATCCTGCTGTTGCAATTACTACCTATCACCAAGGTAGCCACTGCTGTCTGGTTACTTTTAAGCTCCTCTTTTGTTGTTATTCAACCAGCATTTCCTACAGTGCCTTATATTATGTCCCATTTTGGAATAAGGATCAAGCCTTTTATTTTAGGATTAAGGATTTGCACTACAATGCAAATTGCAGATAATTATGATGATATTTAGGTGAATTTATAACTAGTCCTATGCAGAACAGCTCTATTCTCCCACCTCCCATTTCTTAATGAAACATTCCCTCTACGCATGTCCGAAAATAGCAGAGGCTTTTGCTTCCTTTCCAGTGTTCCTGTGCTGTGAACTCATATGTATTTTGCTATATATCACCCACTGGTATTTCTCACTTTTCAGTACAGTTATCTAGTCAGGAGGACATTGTATTATGCAATTCTCTCCATTGTAATCAATCATCTTCTGTATGTCACTATCTTTTAAAACTAAAAGCAGGCACCTTATTATTCTTTTAAATTCCCCACTGCCAAGTAACACATTCGTCACTGTCTATATATATATGAAGTTATCTATGACACTTTCTTTGCTGCTTGTGTACCTGTTGTGTAACTTTTTGTGGCTCAAGGTCAGGACCATGCCAGCTCATCCTCTGCAAATGAAAAAAAAAGGGTGAGCACTCATTATTCCAAGGACTTAAGGAAAGCTTGTGACCAGGAAAGTTGTCCTTCAGACAAATCTTTCCGTATAGTATTTCTTTACAAGCAGCTGCTGGAAAAGAAGGTTGGATGCTATAGTAATACCTAAAGATGTAAGTGAGCTGACTGCTTGTTGCTTAGTGGCAAGAGGCAAGTTAACTTTATCTCAACATATTTTTCAAATTAGGAGTTGTACCTGCTATCACCTAATAACAAATTACATAGACTTTACATTAACTTTATTTTACTATTATCAAATCATTAATGAATGAATCCAAAATTCTTCCAGTCTGTTACTGCCCTGGAGATACAAAAAAAAATTATGCAAAATATCCTGTTCAAGTAAT